ATCTCATAACTTCACTTAATTTTGTGTGCCATCATAATCACTTTCAGAAATTATATGACCATGTTCTGAATCTTACTAAAAACATAAGTGGTATAGCTAGAATCCAAAATTCGCCTACTGTATTCATTATTCTAAAACAATGACCAAAACCATAAATAAATTCACCTGAGAAAAAAAAGTAAAATATGCATAAAATGAAGTTTAAAATATTGATTAAACAATAAAATATTAGTTCCTGAATTATTTTTGGAGCTTCACTTATTATTGAGTTAAAATTTTCAAATGCTAAAACTTCATATTCTTCAACAGTAAAGCGGTTTAAACTAGTTATTCTACAACAATAATCTGCATATACACTGGTCCAACGATTTGATTCCATACATAAATCTAAAGTTCCAAAGCAAGGCCCATGATATTTATCACTCCAAATAGCCTTATCATTTCTTCTCATAATTACTCTACTTAATACTGGGTTTGATTGGTCAGTAAATGAAAAAATAAAACTATTTAAAGTTTGATTAAGATATGGTATCTCCTTTAATCTAAAATATCCATCATAAAATTCAATAGCACTAGTAAACTTAGCCCAACTTGTAGGGTTATACCCGCCTATCAATTCACCAGTCTCTTTAATCTTAAGTATTACAATAGTTGGACCTCGAAAATCACATAATTCATGAAATGTATTAATACCAAAACCATCTCTACTTCCACGCAATAAAAGTTTAAGCTTATAAGGATCTGTAATATATGTATAGTAATCTTTATCCTTTAAATCAATCCAACTTGAAATTATAGTTTTATTCGTGCCGGAAAGTAATCTAGAATATCCTCTTTGAAAGGTTTCATATTTGATAAAAGTACTAGGATCTAAACGATATTGCTTAATTTGCTTATCAATATAACTCTTAGGAATATGATAATAACGAATTAAGGGAATATATTGTGAAATTGTTTCTTTTAATGTCATGAATTGATCATCAGACCAGCTCGTAACATCTTTATCAGACCAATTTGTGATATTTTTATCAAGAAGTTTTTTAGAATTAGCAATCCCCATTTAATCAAATAATTCCAAATTTCTGTTTCTTCAAGTTCAAGATCATCTCTTTTTAAAAGACTCATTAGAGCCACATTATCTAATAATGGAAAGCTATTTGAATTAAAAATTGAATAAGGATTTCTACAAGTAAGATTCAGAACATGGTCATATAATTTCTGAAAGTGATTATGATGGCACACAAAATTAAGTGAAGTTATGAGAT